ATTTGGCTGAGTGATGAGATAAAGGCTGTGATTTTAGGGAGAATACTGTACTGGCAACGTGGCAACAGTTTAAATGTGACATCTCCAGAATAAGAAAGCAGAGCTGTAGGAGGAAAAGATGCGCTACAGACGTGGGATGTTAAAGCCAGCGTTCAGGTGCAACCATACCGGAGGTGGAGGCTCGTCATTGTCATCGAGGTTGACAGGGCCTCCATTGGCGGCGTCAAGTCCGAGCCCAGACAGTGATCGGGCCAATGAAATAAGCTTCTGTGAGTGAAAGGATGATGACTCACTCATTGCTGTGGTTAAGGGCATACATTCGTTTCCGTTTCATCCCTCTGTGGGCACATGAAAGAGAAAACAAGAGTTAAGTGTTGCCAAAGGCCTGCCAGGAGAATATTAATATATAACTTAATGCAACTGTTTTGTGCTCTCATTCCTGTAAGTAAAACTTACAAGTATAACTTATAAAGTGATGACATGTTATCTAACATTCATTAGATACCTCCTAATTAAAAGAACAAGGAAGTGAGTCAAGGTTTATTTTAATTTACCTTTAATTATTATGTTTTTTTTAAATGCCCATTTAATTATATATCAAGTCAAGAAGACTTTTTTTGTCGACCTAACAATATACACTCATGCATACAATGGGATAAAAAATCATTATTGTATGGGAAAAAACAAATAATAAAACTGAGGCAAATGTTGTCTTCTCAGTCTTTTTGCAGAAAATATGAAATATTTAGATTGATCCTTAATTTAAGGTCAAATAATATATCTGAGAAAACAGTAGGGGCTCTTTCAGACTGACAGATAAACTCAAAGCCAAAATTAAGCTGTCTTGTCTCCCTTTTTTTTACTCAATTGAAGCTGTAGGCTCAGATTAAGCCCACACTGCAATCCAAGCAGCACAGGCTGCAATCTGTTGGGACAATTTGGTCGCTGAGCTCAGACTCTGGTGCTAAAGAATGAAGCGGCATCTCGAAAGACTGTGACTCACACTCTCGTTATTGCTGTGAATCCCTTGAATTCACAGAAATAAAATATGGAGTCATTTCTTTGGCTTGACTTGGAACTCCACATTAACTTTTCAGCACAATGTAGACTTTTACACAGCTCTTTTTGAGGCTTTTGGAAGGTTTTTTTTTAAGTCTTTTTAGAGCAGATCAGGTGAGGCAAAGCAAAGAGCAACAAAGTCAGCTATAAGAGTTAGACATTGTGATCACCAACCCAGGACAGTGAGGTTTGTGGCCCATGTGAAACCAAAAGGCGAATTTGACCTTTGCTTTGAGCACGTTTGTGCATACTAATGCACTGAAACAGGATCAGAGCTCGTAAGATTAAATACGTCAGTTTCACTTTCATTATTATTGTTTTCTTCGAGCTTCAGTTATTCAAAAGATGTAACAGTCCATTTAGTTTTTCTTAAACGTAAATTGAAAAAACAAACACATTTTATAATAAACTATGACTAATATTTTAACAGCGGCTTTACATTTCACTCTGCACAGCCAAGAACAGCATCATCCTTTCATCTCTGTCTGATGAATTCTCCTAAAAAAAAAGTGTTTAATAAGTATAATGCTTTCAGTTTTTATTCCTCCCTTCTATCCCCTCACAGGAAAATGTTTGAAAAAACTAGCATTGCTGAACATAGTAGTATAAGATCACATGTCAAAAAAACTGACAAAAAACAGTTACAGTCCATTTCGATGCAATATAATATTATCCATGTGCTTTGAGATACTATTATATTTATGTTTCTGAAACTGATAAGAGGTTAAAACATGTCAAATCTGAAAAAATCTTTCTTTATTTAAAAACTTTTATGTTGTCACCAAAACATCTCAATATGTGTTTTGATTTGAAATCTTTATTCAGTCTGAGTGATTTTTTAAGCAATATGGAGTTTTTTCCCCCTGCATGATCAGTATAGTACATTTTCTTTATCACTATTTGTATATTGTCATATTTTTAATTATCATAGCATGTTTTTCAGTGTAATTTGCTTAGTTAGGGCTATAATTGATGTGCTACTGTATAAAGATGTACAATATAAAGAAAAAAATTTTTTTACTCAGATGCTACGCTAAAAAAATGTTTTGGGGGTCAGGGGATCTTCTTATGTTTTTTCTGGAGTTTTGGTTGCCAACTGATGATGTTTTGTTATAATTCCTTTCATCTGTTGACCAATTAGAGCTTCAGAAAAACAATGCCAGCTATTTCTTCTCCTTGGAAAATTACCTGAGGGATTGAACACAACATTTTTAAAATTTAAATTTTTTAAATATTAAGATTACTTCTTGGAACTGAAAATGGTCACAAATGTTTGCATCTTGATTACACTTTGTATGTTGGTAAAATTGTATTAAAGTCCTACCAACCTAAAATACTAAGCCTCCAGATACACAATTACACTAACAGCCAACAAACCAGCATGAGTACAACAAAAACGGCAACAACTTCAACAGTCAATCCCCTTACACATATACACAAACATCCACGATAATCCCAGTTATCCAAGAGTCAGCAAACACAGCTTGACACACACTGGCAAGACATTGCAGGTAAAATTGCAGGTTACTTTCTTTTCTTCTGCATTTTTAGCACAAAGTAAACATTCAAAACAGATATTGATGTTCCTGTTTGACTACACATGGTCTATTGGACATTTATGATTGGTCTGTTTAATTATGTAATGTAGGTAGGGTGTTTTAGATTTATCTCTAATAATTTTGCAAACGGGTCTGGTTTGTTGTTTTAATTTCATTTCCATTGGATGTTCCATATTTTGAGCCCTATTCAATTAGCTTATTAGTCATAGTGCCATTTCTTCTGTGGCTGAGATTCTTGCTAAAACTGTTCATATATAATAATATTTATGCACACTTTGCAGTTAACCGAATTAATCATGTCCCATTAACATACCACAGAGGTCCATCATTAATCTGCTGGAAATATTAAGCCTGGAGCTTGGGTGCTGGACCACATCTAAAACTCCTTTCTGTGTGACAATTAAGATTTAGATTCACACAGTTCTCCTCTTTCCTCTAGTAGATCCTGAAACCTTCCCCACACTTCTGTCATCATCTAAAGCCACCACTGACATCAGTTTCCCCCTCCCACAACACTCTTATAGATTTATGCCTCTTTCCAGCTATTAGGTCAAAACTAAGACCTCAGATCTAGAAAAACAAAAACAAAATACAACTGGATTAAAAAAAAATTGGTCGAGAAGTTCTCTTCTAAGAGAATATTATTCCCCCAAATTATCCTTTTTGGATTTCATCTTTTAATCAATAAATTAGCATCTTAATGATAGTGTGGTAATTGCCCCTGACTACTAATATTCTCCTCATGTTTTATTTATTTGAATATTTTTTACTGACTTTTATCCCCCAAGTCTGTTTTATGACGTATTTGTCCTCCTTTCCTGGTAACTTTAAAGCAGGCACCGGAGGAGTGACAACAGAATTGCGTGTGTCTCAGCATGGGGCTTATAGGCCTGTAAGCTTGCTGACAGCTCAACCCGAGACGCCGGGGGTCAGATGTACCTGCACACTAACTTTAATGTGGCGCTGCTGTAATACTGTCTCTCCTGAAGCACCCACCCATCGCTAATTTCAAAGAACCGCTTGTTACTTTCCAGCACAACAACAGCAAGGAGAGCTCAAAATGACTTGCATCAAACTTTCACTCGAGCCTACACAGTTCCCTCTAAGACTATCATTGAAGCCTAAATCTAAATCAGCATAAAAACATCGACAAGAGACGTCATCAAATTATCTAATTTTCATTTTGACTAATTAATCCCTGGGCAGTTGCTTTGGTGATTCGATAAATATGTTTAATTGGATGCTCGTTGGCGCAACAGTTGTGCGCACGCAGATGGTGGTTTGGGGAAAAAAAACAGTCTCAGCACCCTGACACGCACCACTACATCCATCGGGGGATTTCAACAGTAGCAGTAGCTCAAGTCATGGGTATTGTAAACACTTGCAAATAAATGAGTGGTAAAGTCCAAATGACCCTTATAAATCGGACACCATACCTGTATATGCCTGAGTGCTGGATAGCAAAATGATGCGCGCTTTTTTAAAAATTTGCACTTCCGATGAAAGAAAAGCGAAAAGAGGACTCACCAGTACTCGCGGAGGATCAGGTCTTCGCCAGGGAGATGATTGACAAGACGCGCGATTTGCACAGCCTGGGCGGCTGAGATGGTGGACAATCCGCGCGCGCTCCCGCAACCCCTGGCTTATTGCGCGAGCACAAGACGGCTAATTCCCTGGCCGTTCCATACTGAACGGAAGGAAGGTGTGAAGCATATTACTGGATACAAGAGGGGTGTGTGAGTGTAGCTGTGTGTGTTTGTAAGCTAAGAGGGAAAGGGTTTACAAGTGACCCTTGAAACTGAACCTCGGCTACCCTCTGTAGGCTCTGAGACGACACTGAAAAAAAATGTCAAAAATTATATAATGCCATATGTAGTAGTGATAATACAAAATATTTTAAATAAAAAACTTACATTAGCACTTATTTTGACTTTAACTGTCCTGCTCCAACTACCTGCAGTGGAGATGTAAAAGGTCTTAAAAAAAGACATAAAAATTCATAGTGAATGTTTCCTGCTATTGAAAATAAAAGCAAAACTGGCTCCCTTGAGTACATTACATAGTGTTCTAAGCATTATTTATTGTAATACTTTTATTATTACTTCCTTGTTATACTGATGTGTAGTCAGTCACAGGAATTGTATGTATCATGTGTATTTTGGGGCAGTTTTTAAAGAGCAACGTATTGAAAAGCGGTTTTATTTTTGTATCTCACTGTCCAATCCCTCACTAGTTTCATGCAACTCAGTAAAGACACAGTAGTGCTGAATTAAATTGAATAAAAACAAAACAAAACACCCAAGTGTAAAAGTTGCACTTTTTGAGCAACATGGTGTTTCTGGATTCACACTTAATGTATATTAAACTTATTCTGCAACGCTGTGAAAGAGTATATGTCACATGTTTATATACAAACATTTAACAAACAGTAGTTTTTATGAATACATTTCAACAGAAATAATCAAATTACAACAACACACAAAAGGTGATGCTTACAGAAACAGGTAAGTTTGTTTTATTGCTATTTGTCAAGGTAGTTTTTTTTTATACTGCTACATTTTCTTGGATAAACACAAAGCATCAACCTTTATAATCTCTGTCTTCTATTCTTTTTCTTCCACTCTCTAGGTGCAGTGTCTGGACAGACAGTCGCATTTGGTTACAGACAGAATTGTGTGGTGGCTACGAGTGCCATTGGCACACATGACAGGAACGTTGAGAGGCTCTGTCTCTACCGCAGCACAGCAAACGCACTCCTGCTCCACAGCAGCCCTCTGCAGGGAGTACATGGACTTACTGCGACATTTGCCCTGACAGACAGAAAGACAGGCAGATGGAAGGGTACACATAACAACAGGGAGACAGAAAGGACAGGATGGTGAGGGACAGTGTTACGATTTCACTCAAATTTGCAGGTTAATCCTACAGGGGAAAAGATTTAATCATTCTTAAATGTGTGTGCGTGTGTGTGTGTCTGTGTATCTTACCTCACAGTAGTACAGGTCTATCTGGTGCTCTGATTGGCAGTCATCCACCTTGATGTAGTCGAGCCTTCCCACTGTCTTTCGGCACTCTGGCTCTGTACCTACACACACACACACACACACACACACACACACACACACACACACACACACACACACACACACACTATTGTTAAGATCCAAATAATCTAAAAAAAAAAAAAGATAATTTACTGCTCTTGCAAAGGGAACAGTTCAACTCACACATCTCACAGCAGGTTGTTCCAATTTGACTGACTTTTCCCTGGGAAAGTAAGAACAGGAGAGACAATGTTATCATACATTCCTGGGAGAAAAAGTATAGATAAGGGAACACTGTGAGATGAGAGCTTTACCCCTTGGTCTAAGCAAGCTTGGCGATTAAAAGACGGGCAGGCTGTCACTTTGGTCTGCAGCACAAGATTTCCTTCACTATTCAGACCACATGTATATGAGGTGCAACCATTCTCGCTCGTCGTATTGACCTGAAAGAACACGATTCATTCTTACAGTATGTAGCCGCGAACAGTACGACTGGCATGAAAGAGTATTATAAGCTATAGCACTGCATAGAATAGACAACAGAAGTTGTAGCGTGGTATCATCTTGTTTGCATAGGACTTACTTTCACACTGATGAGTTTTCCATCTGGTTGTTGAACGAAGCAGGCGGTGGGAGCACATCGACCACAGCAAGTACCTTCCTCCTTCTCCAGAGTGTACCCCTAAAAATGTGGAGGTTAGTTTTAAGTGTCCATTAATGTAAAAAGACATTGGGAGTTTACTACTGCAAATACAAAGACATAAGATACCTGGATTTTGTTTTCTAAATAAAAAACATCTTATTTACCTTTGTGAATAAAGTGAATCATGGAAAGATGATGTGGCTACAGTTTAATGATGAGCAGGGAAGGAATGCGAACAGACAATTAAGGAATGTGGATTTGTGATTGTATTAATCGGTTATGATGAGGATGAGAAATGACAAGAGTTAAAACAGACAAAATAATTTGAGGATGGCTACCATGGGGCAAGAGGGACAGCTTGTTTTCCTGCAGGACAGTTCATATTTCCTGATTGGACCATCCACTATCCTACACTGACAGCGTGTACACGCATCAACCATCAGCTGCTCCCCTGCCTGTACAAACACATACACAGTATATCAAAATAAAACATCATTTCCAAATGTCTTTTTTATACCAAGGCAGCTACTACTTCTCTGAATGACTTACCCCTATCAGCGTGTGGTTGAGAACACAGGCGTTCACAGGAGCTGCAGAGAGAAAAGCACAAATAATTTCCACAGTCGTTTGTTAAAAAGTAATTCAATCCCCAGTTTGTGTAAGGTCAGATCAGGATAACAATCTCTGGGATGACACCAGAGTCATCTGTTGGACATAAACTGCAACTGCAAGTTGTTATGAAAACACTGTGTGGATGATTTGACTGAAGGGAAAGTTAGATGAATGCAAGCTTGATGATTCATGCATCGCTTGCGAGCTAAAGGGCAGTTTCCTAACCCGGTGCACTGGATTGTCTGTGTGCCTTCTGAGTAAGTCTATGTGTGTATGTATGTGTGTTTACCACAGTGGCAGCGGGGGCAGCAGTCCTCGGTGTCACAGCGTAACTCAGTCCCCAGTGGGCAGGATGGAGTATCCGTAATCGAGCAGCTGACATTTGAAGCAGAGATGAACACCTCATCTCTGACTTTTATGCACTGATGTAAGACACATTTATTATCTGGAGACTTCCATCTGTCACCCACCTAAAGACGACACAGAGATGAGAATTAGATCGATAGAAAGATGAATGCCTTCTTATGTGAGGTAGTAATAAATTTATATGCAGCAGTGAAAAAATAAGACAACAAAAAATAAAGTGAAAGAAACGACAAAAAAATAAGACTTATTTTTTTGCAGTAGGGCAAATACTCCAAATACAGTGGCTTGCAAAAGTATTCGGCCCCCTTGAACTTACCCACATTTTGTCACAT